ACCGGTTTGCATTCCTTTGTGTAACTACAGACCTTGTCCCAAAGGACAATGTTATGTGACCATTACACAAATGCCATATGACCTGCCAGTCATGCTGGTGTGACATAGATTACAGGTGTCTTATCCTAACCAATTGCGAGAGACAGTTAACCATAACACAGGAAGGATTTTCAAATTTTCCGTCAACACTAGGATTTGAACTTTGGACCTGCCACTTGGGGGTTGACAACCTGACCACTTCACTAGGTCACCACACCCCTAGAAGAGACAGTATTCTTATAAGTTATTTTTTATTGTATTATTGTATTATTGTTAGAACACCTTTTTAAGAAGACCTTTTTAAGAAGAGACAAAAATTCCAATCAAGTATATACAAATACCTAAAAAAGTTTCAAAAATCATATGATATCATAATTTATGATATCAATATAATTGATTTAGTAAGTGGTTTTTTTTTTGATTCTTTAAAGTAAAAAGTGATTGTTCAAAGCATAGAAATTGGCCTATTAATATTAATGCAGACTAGATAATATTTAATAAAGGTCAGATGATATACTAATGCAGGCCAAATAATTTTATATTAAAAATCCTAAACAGGATCTAAAAAAAAACTAGGCATTTCATGTATTCTGCACGTGGCTCATTTTTATCCATATAAAGAATTTCTAAATTTTCACATTTTGATAACATATTAAACTCTGCACCATAATCATAATATTATATTTTAACTTTTTATGATAATAGTTTTTGACTTTCTAAAGCTAAAATAATGCTGCAGAATTTTTTAGAATATTCTTTATCTACTAATTTGAATCATCTAAGTTGCTCTTATGAACTAATAATAGATATAAGAAGATGAAATACTTGAGGCTTACAATTAGGTCAAATTCTTCAAATTTCTAAAAACATTACTTTTTATAGTACTTTTTGCTAAGATTTTTATGTTTGAAAATGCATATTTAGATAAATACTACTGAATAAGCTATGATGTAGTGTTAAAATTGATTCAAGAAACTGAATCTGTATTTTCTATAGACTGGTTAGATAAAAAAAAAAAATAAAATAAAATATTTAAGTAAAGATTATATAGAAGATAGCAGAAGATTGTATTATATAATAATCATAATGATCATTAATGAAATCAGAATATAATATTAAAATTTTAATTCTAAAATTAACCTTAATTATCTCAGCTTCTTGTAATTAATATCAAATAAATTTTTTTTTATTTAAAAGTACATTTTCTTCTCTATAAAAAAAAAAAAAAAGTTTAAAGTTCATTTCTAGTTGTCGAGATAATTAAGATATATGATTATAAATAAAATTTTACATATTAGAATAGATTATTTGAATTATCTCTGCAACTAGTGAATAGATTTTAATAATTTTTTATATATTATAAAGAAAATATGTATCTATTAAATAAAAAAAAATTATTTGTTTTAGACTAATAATTATTAAAAAAATTAGTTTAAAAGATTGAACTAAAAATTTTTGTTTTTATTAAATTTTTAGTTAACTACTAATTAAAATTGTATGAAACTTATACAGTAAATAGAAAAAAATTTTGTCTATAAAATAGTAAAATATTATTAAAATTGAATTAATAGTTATTGAAATATTTACAAAAAAACATAAAAATTTATCAAATTTATCAAAACTCTAAAAGTAAAATTAAATAACTTGCTAATTATACAAGTATATGATCTAAAAATAATATGATATAATCATCAAAAGATAAGGTTTTATATAGTCAAGTCAAGAATATAAATTAATTAGTAAGTTTTTGAGTTATACACCAAGTCCTTAAGTGTATAAAAACTTTTGTCACCTTTCTGTATCTAGTACTAGTTTGTATTTCTCTATATAACAATATATTATACAAATGTTAGTAACCTTTTAGTCATGTTGGTATAACATAGGTGACAAGTATTTTATCACAACCAATAACAAAAGACAATTAAACATAACAAAAAAAATTTTATATTTTTGTCAACACTAAAATTTGAACTTTAAACCTGCTACTTGAAAAAGGATAACAGCATAACCACTTTACTATATCATTATATCACTTTATGTAATAACAATTTTATTAATATTTTATATAAATTTTGTTAAATATCACAGATTGCTATATTGCAAATTAATATAACTAACCAATTAAATCACAAAATCTTGTGAAAAAATTTAAATAACTTAAAATTTTATTATGTAAACTAGTCTTGAGCTTCTAATTAGCTCTTAATTTTGCACATATATATGCTCTTTAACTCTAACCCTAAGACTAACTTGAACCTAACCTCAACTAATACAAATTAAAAATTTTTTTTAAATGATATTAACTTGCAATATCACAACCTGTTATATTTAACAAAAATCTTTTATATAATTTAATTTTTTGTAAACGAATATTCTGTCAAAATAAATAAAAATTGATCTACCAACCATATTCATTTAGACAGGTTTGACTGTACTAAAATTTCACAAGAAAAACTTTTTGTTACTACGCAGATGGTTTCATATGGGTTTTTGATTTTTTTGTGTTTTTTTCTGCGTCTTGAAATCAGATTGGCCAGCGAAATTTTTAGGTTGGTAACGCTAGGAAGGTTGTAACGCTAGGAGTTTAACCCTAGGGTTGTTAATAGAGTAGCATACTCCGGAGCCACTCCGGAGTGAGCCCAACCCAAGCTGGAGTGGGTTGAGAAGTTGCTTAATTTGTACCTGCATGGTCCACAAAATAAAGTTTCTTCAAAAGTTCAGTCCGCATTTTACTGTGTTTGGCCCACGATTTTGTGATATTTTTTAAAATTTTTTAATTTCGGCCCGGCCCATGCTATGGATACAATATACATTTAACTATATTTTATTTGATATTAACAATTATATAAGCATTTTTATCAGTTAACATTTATTTTAGTACTTTCAATAAGAGTATTCTTTTAGCAGAATTTTATTGGAATCACTTAAATATTATAAAATCTGAAAACACAATGGGATTCCAGCTTCAATAAGCAACATTGTTATTAGTATCTAATCTTTTACGTCTTCAATTCCACCTGATCCGATTCTAAACTCTGCTTCCGATTCTGGGAGACATGGAGAATCGTAAATCTTGCAAACTCGTGTATCAGCCTTGCCTTTACGTAGAGACAGCCTAAGATTTTAAATAATTTAATACTATTCTAAATTTATAGAGCGCGCTCTAGAATTAATTTGATTATTTTGGTTACCTTGTCGTCGACGCGTGAGCAATGATATTTCCACCGATGGGCTTTTTATCTGTTGCGCCGGGGAATAACATATTTCCATCGACTGATGATACGACCTGGTTTGTAATAACTACCGCGACTCCAAACTTTGAAAGCATTTATCAATTACAAAATATGTATTAAAAAAAACTATATATTAAATACGTATATGATACTTACTTCATCAGCTAAACGAAGTAGGGCGCGTAAAAATTTTGCCAAATGCATTTGGCGTGCAGCAAGTTCACCTCGACCAGAATAATCTGTTCTATATAAAGCTGTAACACTATCAATGATTAAAAGTGCAAATCTATAACAATTTATAACGAAAAGGGATAAAGTTCAATATTAGTACATGATTTAATATATAATTGCAAAATCATTGATAGACAATTAGTTAACTTTGACTGAGTCATCATCGCAGCAGCTTCCATCAATAAAGTCATTTGATGATCTGTATTGTAAGCCCGTGCAACGGCTACATTATCCAAAACTTCATTTACATCCATACCGAAACGTTCGGAGATAGTTGCTAATCTTTCTGGACGGAACGTGCCTTCAGTATCTATGTAAATGCACATTCCTTCAGCACCACCATTGTTAACTGGGAGCTTTAAATAAAATAGTAGGATTTTAAATAACCAAATTATTAAATATTCATAATTCCGAAAAGTTATTATTATTACTACCTGACATGTAACGGCAAGCGTATGGCAAAGTTGACTTTTTCCAGTTCTAAATTCTCCAAACACTTCAGTAATAGATCCAGATTCAACACCACCTGCAAAGTAAAATCCAGTTAAGAAGTTTTCACCGCTAGTTACATATATAATTATTTTTTATGTCACCTCCAAGAATTTTATCTAAAGCTTCTGATCCGGTTGATATATAAACGTAATCAGACCTTCTTTTTTGAATTGAGGTGGCTGATTCGAAACCCATTCTAGGTGACAATTTTACAGCTTAAATAATACAATGCAATTGTTATTTAAGTTATAAATAACAGTAAAGTTTAACATCGTAATAAAACTAGATTACCTTCTGTTAAAATTTTATCAACTTTTGCTTCAGAAATTCCCTTTATAGTTAAAAGAGCTTTTCTGGGTGAAAAGGCTACAGATTCGACAGTAGTATATCCATTTTCTGAAAGCTTTTTGACGTCTGATTCATTTATGCCGCAGTCCTAAAAGGTTGTTAAAAGTGCATATTATTAAATTATAGTCGAAGCAAGAAAATATATAACAAACCTTAAGCTTTAAAATCGGTGTGTACGCCAAATTCTCTTCGTCGTTAGCTACATCCTCATCATGTTCATATTCTTCTGCCATCTTTGAAAATTTCGATCGTTGCAAAAAAAAATACAAGAAGGATTTGTCTAAAATTCGCGAATGCTATAAACGCGTGTCGTCAGTGTTTATATTTCATCTGGCCTTGTGTAATGCAGTCACGTGTAACAACTTTTCGCAATGTAAAGCCTTAAATTTGGTGAAACTGCACCTGACCACGGCAAAAATTTCATTCACATGAGGATCGACAATGACTTATCCAATAGCGAGTCTTGCTTTAAACGTTTCGCTTATAACAAAAAGTTTCCGATCCTGTGCGTATAACAGATATCCGCTTATTAAGGTCATAGGCAGAAATTCGTTTGATTGTCTGATGTACATCAATTACCCGGGTAGTACTTTTCAGGAACTCCAGTTTTGCATACTAAAAAAAACGAAAATTTTTACATATATCACTTCATTAGAGTGTCAAAAGACTACCTTCAAAATAATCTCTAAGAATCTCTAATTTAAGTAGTGTTAGCTTAGTAGCGACTTTTTTATAATAAGTACAGCAAGAAACATTCAATATTTTTTATATATTAAGGGTAGGGTGTAATACGTATTTTAAAATTATGGTATTTTTTTTTTTAATTTTGACAGGTCGCAGGATCGATTTTGCTGTCACATGATTCTCGGAAGACAAATGCTGCTAAGTTAAAAACTTCTTTTATATTTGAGTTAGAGTTTAGGGTTAGAAAGGACTATAGTATAGCAAAATTACACAAGGGAATTTTTTTGTTAAGACTCCAAAGACGGTTTACTAGACTAAATTTTGCGATTTTTGCAAAGCGAACGTTTGTTTAGGATTTCTTTACGTTACACCTGATCCTGACCTTTGATTGGCTGGTGTATGTCGGAAAATCAGGTTACAGTAAAATCGATCCTACGCACTGGCATTGTTGTATATTTTTTGAGCTAAGTAAAGTTGTAGAGTAGGTTTATTAAAATTGGTTTAAAACTCATCAATATATAAAATTTTAAAAATCAAATATAAAAACTTACTATTAAAATTCTTTTATAGTTTTTCAAAAATTAACCAATTAAAGTTAATTTTTTGTATAACTAGAAAAAAACATAAAGCATTTAGAGAAAATTTAAGATATATACAAATGGGTTGTCATCAATAGAAATCAGGCAGATTAACATTTTAAAAAAAATTAATGTTTTAACTTTCATAATTCATATTTTAATGAATTTTGAAGCTATTGCTATTATTTAATAGTTAAATAAAAGTTTAAAATCTAAGTTTTTTTTTAACTACTAAATGATAACAGTATCTTCAAAATTCATCAAGATAGGGGTGTGGTGACCTAGTGAAATGATCAGGTTGTCAACTTCCCAAGTGGTAGGTTGGGTGTTCAAATTTTATTGATAGCAAAAATTTGAATAATTACCTATGTAATATTTGTATTACAGTAACTGTTACTAATGATTAGGTTAGAATACCTGTAATGGCAGTCACACCAGTATAACTGACAGGTCATAGGGTATCTGTGCAATGTTAGAATTATATAGAAGAATGCAAACTGATATATCAGGTGATGCAAACACTAGATAAGTCCTTGTGGTCATGTAAATCTATTGAAATTGGGTAACAAGAAGTTTATTTGGGAAGACCTGAGTAGAGAGGTAGTTAGATTTTTGATGACTTTACTATAAAGGCTAGCTTGGAAAAATGGATACTAAGGTTTAGTACTTGATCCTAGTAGCCAAACAGGCAAGAACTTTCAGGTTAGGAGTCTCAAAAGTACCATCAACTAGGTTACTAAAATGAATTGAAAGAAAAAGATATCAGGCTGATCTAATATACTGATAGATTGGTTATAGTCCTACATAGGCTATCTGAATTGAAAGTTTGGTAAAAGATCAGGGGAAAAGATAGATGTATACTAAAGTACTGGGATTATGCTATAAAGTAGATGCTGGGGTCTAAATGAACTTTACAAGAGCATAGTGGTTTAATGATTAGCTCTGATCGCAAGTATTGGTTCTGTCATAATGATATCTAGGTTAGCTGTAAAAATGGGTACAGAAAGCTCTGAGAGGTCTACCTTAAGAATAAATTAGTCCTAAGGTTGAGGATGATGATCTGGGCATCTGAGATGACTAGTGATGTTAATACAAGTTACAGGTTCAGAGAGTTTAAAGTAGAACATTCAAGTAGGAATGTTAGATACAACAATTGATAGGGAACCTTTGGGTGGACTCCTTAAATAGGTAATATAGAAAAGTTATACGTATAGCCAATTGTATGCTCTTCTGTAGTAGTTCATTGAACTATAATACTGATAAGTGATTAATAAAAATTAAAAAACCAAAGAGATCACCTTAATACCAAAAAAAAAAAATATTTCATCAAGATATAAGCTGTAAAAGTTAAGGCATTAATTTTTTTAAAAAAATGTTAATCTACCTAATTTCTATTAATAGCAATCCAAATATAATCTATATATGTATTATTGAATTTCAATAAAAATTAATTAAAAAATAAAAATGTTTTATTATAATATATTTTAATTTATTATATAAAAATTTATAAAATATAATAACTTAGTAAAGTAAATAAGTTATTAATCCCAAAGTAGTAGATTGCAAGTTTAAAACCTATTAACAACAAAATTTTAGATTTTTATTTGTTTGTTTTTAATAATTAAGTTAAAAAATTTGTAATTATAGTTATTTTAGTTTGACTAACAGGTTATAGAATATTTGTATAACTGATTATACAAAATAATACAAACTAGTATTAAATAATACAATTCAATTAATTAACTCATTCTGCTAATTACCAAAATACAAAACCTGCAGAAACAAAAATCAAGACTAATAGGAAAATTATTAACAAAACTATGTTTAAAAATTTAATAAAAAAAAAGAGTTTCTAAAATAAATCTAACAAATAGAGCAGCAAAAGAAAACAAGTTAAAAAACAAGTAAAAAAAAGATAAACTTACCAAATGAGTTTTGAAAAATAAAAATTTTGGAGAAATAGTTTAGACCTAGAATTGCAGTTTTGTTTAAAACATGTGAGCATGTGAAAAGACAAACAAATAAGTACATACAAATATAAACAGAATAAACATGTAAGTATTACAGAAAGCACATGATTGTAAACAAAATTAGTACAGAACACAGCTATAAATAATATAAGCAAAGACAGAAAAGTTAATGATGCTAAAATTGGTAAATAAAAGAGCAAAAACAGAACTAAAGCTTATAGACTACAAAGAATTAGAACAAAAACTAGCAAATAGAGACAACTATTTTAATATAAGAGATATAGTAGCAGTAGCACTATGGAAAACAGATTTAATAGAAACAGTAATACTAAGAAAAATATATGAAGCAATAATTAAAGTAGATATAAAGACTCAATAAGTGTAGAAAAATAAGCAAAAGAGATAAATCACACAAGCCAACATCCACTAGCAATGCAAAGTATAAAAAGCAAAAAAGTTCAAACAATACCAAAAGAGAAAATCAATATACCAGAAATGTATATAGAGTAAATAAAACAAAAAACAGAAGCAGTAGACATAATAATAAATGAAAAAGAGTTATGACAAAATACAAGTTTAGAAGAAAAAGAAAGACAAAAAAGAAGAAAAAGCAAAAAAGCTATAAATACAGAAACAACAAGTATGATGATTAAAGAGACAAAAACAGACAACTATATAAAAGAAGAAATAAGAACATTGAAGACAAATATAATACAAAAGGACTATAAAGACATCATTATAATAATTAGAAACCAAGAAGAAATCAAGAAAAATAAAAAAAATGAAATTTATAAAACTAAATGATAGAAAAACAGAAATAATATTATAAAAGAATTACTAGAATAAAGCATCTAATCACCTTTGAACAGAGATTATAGCAATAAAAAAACATATACAACAAAAATACTAGTATACAATATGCTAGATAGTTTACAAGAAGAAAGAACAAAATTTATTAAAAGATTGCTAATATCTACAAACATGTTAAAGAGGTTAAATAAATATTTAAGAGAGGTACTGCTTGGATTATTGTCATATTTGATTACAAATATAGCAGAAAAGAAGCAATTAACAAAATTTAAAAAAACACAATAATTGGTTTAGAATGATCCTAGACATAGATAAACTAGAAGAAAAGAAGATTAAGAAAAATGAGAAGTTAAAGCAGAAAGATGAACTAATAGAAGAAAAGAAAAATAAAAAAAAAACTAAAAGAACAGAAGGCAATTTATTTAATTAAGAAAAAGAGATGTAAACAAAAAGAATAAAAAAAATACAATAGTATTAACAGTATAGGATCTACTAAAAAAGATAACAGAGTATAAAATCAAGTACTTAGTAAGGAAGATAGGTAAAGTAATAGAATACAAACTCTGAAAAAACATATTCAGAACAATGCCAGTAATAAAAATAAAGAGAGAAGAAGGTCAAGCATTTTCATAGGTAATTCTCTTAAGAAATAGAAAGTTAGCAAAAATGACAATAAGTGAAGAAAAAAAGAAGAAAAAAAAAAAACTATCCAATTTATAGCAAGATTGATAAAAATGTCAAAAAGAATTTTTAAACTAATTTTACTATGAAAACTCAAAACCAAAAAGGCAATAGCAGTATACATTCCACTAAACAGATAGTGAAAACTAAGAAATTATACAATAGTAATATTCAAAAATCAGAAAGATATAAATATAACTATCAAAAAAAGATCTTATACAATGGAGTCTTGATGTTCTGAAAGGTTAAACCAAAAAGATTAGACAAAAACCCTATGTAAATAGTAGCAAGACACAAAAGATAAAAAAGAAAGAAGAAATAAAAGACTTGAACTCAGAAGAAGAGCATACAAATTCAGAAAAGTATATAAAGAAAAATAAATATAACACAAGACTGATAATAGAAGAAATAAACAAGAAAGTGGAAGTTATCAAAACAAAAGAAGTAAAAAAGGAAATTTAGCAAGTACAGACCAAGAAAAAAACAGGCCAAAAAAAGAAAATAAAAATA